ACACTTCGACCGAACGCGCTTTAGCGTTCAGAACAGACGACGAGGCCTTCACAAAATTGTCTGATTTCGATATTGAACTCCGCTGTTATTGGCAATGGACCATTTTATTTGATGCCGATTTTAGTACTAAATACTTGTTACCTAACAATTTCTTCTTTTTTTAAATAGTTTTTCCTTTATTCGTTTTCGAAAACAACATTGTATTCATATCCATGGCACGGGGCCTTGATGCTCAATAATGGAATACATTATCGCGAAGAATATGCTGCAATGACGTCATCAAATCCACTAGTATTGATAATGCTTTAAAATATTTGTTAATAATGTTATCACTAGCAATACATGGTTATCACCAAATGCTGGAGGTCTGCAAAGGATAACAATAAGTTTACTGGACAAAGCTATGCTTTTTTATCCAATCATTTTCAATCATTTTTGGTTACTCCTCCTGGCGATTTACATAAAGTCCGGGAACATGTGTAATAATGAACATTATTTTTACTTCTGGTGCAATTCAGTTAGATGTATGGTCAAATAGCTTCGCCCGTCTAGGTGTGACCAGAGGTACATTACTTGGGGTTTGCAACTACGGTAACATGATACCAAGATCCCGTTTCAATCTCGCTCTCGCATAAGCGTTCCAACGTAGAAAAATGCGAATGCGCATGCCCGAGGTAACTATGATACTGGGATGTCCAGGTGGGTCAAAATAGCTGTTCACGATGTGACGAATTACGATAACTATATTTTCTGTACATTTTCAATGCATTACATTTTTTCGCTATGAATGTGGTAATACATGTGTTATTGTTTTATTACAAACCGCCTATGTCATGTCAGAAGGTCGTAGCGTCAGCCTCGCTATCTACGAGATGAGACTTGAATGGGATCTTGGCACGATGTCACCATACAGTACTATGCGCGTTGCAAACCCCAAGTAATGTACCTCTGGTGTGACTTATGACCTTCAGCGTAATTACCCAACTTCGAACGAGGTGATAACTCAATTGAAGATGATATCTAGCGCATTCTGGGAGCCCACAACTGGTATACCGTGCATAAAATTCTTTGCGCATGCGTAGTATGTGAAAAAATAGTTGTATTCAATAATAGTGCACTGACATTGGCTAAATTATGTCGAAGCTTTTGAGGTCTGTTTCTTTGTTGTCGGCAAGCATACCACAAAACATCACATGTAAGTATGTGTAGTCAAATAAAGGTATCAAAAATAAAAATAATATTTGAATGTTTATATTTTGGTTTTATCTCTGACCTGTACATTTTCCGCTCGGCGGGTTTTCTACCTCTTTATTATTAACTCTCTGATGCAATGTTCGTGTACGAGTAGTCATTGCTTGTTGAGCGTACATATAACGACATTCATCGTGAGAGTCGAAGTGTATAACTGTACTCGGATACGATCACTTGCGATTACTACAACGATTACATTAGTATAGTTTATGTAACAAAGTCGACTGACCCCCCCCCCTCCCAATTTGGCAAGTTGGAAAATCAATGCAAGATTTGACCCAAAAAAAAACTTTTAGAAGCTTGGAAAAGTAATACAACTCATTTTTGTTAATGTTACCGCATTGAGGCTATACTGATAAGTTGTAGATAACAGTAAATCACAGAACACGCTTCCCCCAACATTAAATGCATTTTCAAACTAAGGAGATATATGCACCATTATATCGATTATTTGCATTTCATGTTTAATGAATTTAATTTTATCGCAATAAAAAAAACACTAACGACCTAATCTTATAAGACATAAATCACACGGAAATGACGGTTCCTGTGAGATTTGTTGTCGACATGTCGCGACAGTGTGCAGCATTATGTGCTAGTACGTGCATTACACTAATTGTACATAAAATGTACACTTGAATCACAACGCACGTCCAACCATTTAAACTTTGGGTCAATACAACACGTTGTAAGCGAAGTGCGTGTTGCTAGAAAATGATCGTTTGACACTCGTTCAGGATTGTGGTTATAGTTGGCACAATTTATATAAAAAACGATAATTCAAATGATTATATTTAATTAGAATATAGTATCAGATATCATAAATAGTATAATATTTTTAAACGAGAGACAAGACCTAATTTTACTTAAAGTTATCAATTACTGCATGCATGGATCGAAATATGTAACGGTTCATTACATACAATTATGTGATTCTCTGGCGTGACGTAATTCATCCTGCTGTTGAAAGATATGGTATGATATATGCTCCCCACGTTTTGAAATAGGTTGGCATAATAAAAATACACATGTACACGATATAATATGTAACTACTGCAAGGACACTCACTGAGAGGGGACAAATTTCATTCTATTTATGTATGTTTTAACCATAAACTTTTAATACGTGAGTTGAGTTGTACCATGAAGCTATTTCACATAAAATTATCTGTCTCGTAGAAAGTTTAAATAAATTAATTTTTCTGTTCTATTAATTCCTGTATTCGGAAAATTCTGCTGCTTTTATTTTATCATGCATTGAAAGGGCACACTTGGAATGAATGATGTATCAAGAATATGGTAAATAATTTAGATATTTGGATAATTAATATCGAATATTACAAAGGCGTTCGCAATTCGAAAAACACAAATAATAATGTATATTTCACGTGTTGTATACATCGCTTGTGACGAACACTGAGCAATACGACGACCAGCGCTCTTTAATTTTGAATTACATTGTGTTTTGGTGTGCGTGACAAGCATGCACACACTGACGTGAACAGAATCAATAGAATTCACATTATATTGGCAGTTACACAATGAAAAATATACAGTGTATTGGCGCATAATGACACTGCGGGTATAAACAACTTTTTTAAACGGTCAGAACAAGGTCATTTTGAAAAATGGTTTATATTGGTTTACGATCTTTATGTAAACTGTAGGTTTATATTTTGAAGCATAACGTTTACTTGTATCAGTGTCACGTGGTATATTTGTTCGAAGCCTACTCATAAATTAAAATTTCCAGAATTTATTCATTTTGCAATAAACTGTACTCCAAGGCAATATAAGGACATTGACCTAAAACAAAGTTGGGGGTCACCAGTCTTTTTTCGAGAAATTGATGGATGTATTTTAGTAGACAGTCACCATTTTGACACTATTGTATCACTTTTACAACAGGTTCCTATGGCAGAGATATTATACAATATCTCAAAATCGAGCCTGGTGACAGGCTGAAAAAATCATATATTGTTAATGATGGAATACTTTTTGTTTTTCCTAATTATTTAAAAAATCTGGGTTTCAAAAAGTGTCAAAAAATGCAATTTTTCTTTAACACTGTGTTCTATGGAAATGTTCTAAAAATAGCAATTTTCAAAAAATATTAGGAAACGTTTCTCAAAAAGCTTAACTGTAACACACAAAATAATGCTATTTCATTGTACCATGGGACATAAGCTTCGTGATTGTACATAATAAACTAATGAACATTGTCATGCGATTCATGACCAATTTTGTTAAAAATTATGACTTAGATTTCTACCTTAATATCCGCCACGTTGTCGTCCCTGATCGTAGATAGTTGTTGCAAAAATATTACAATACACCCCCAAGAATATATGTGATACAACACCGAGTGTTTGCAAGTAAACGTTCGACTTACGGTGACGCCAGTTCCTGGAAATGCACAGTCGCTTTGCACAAATTTGGATAAAATTTGCGGTACGCGTCTTCCACGAACTTCGTGCGAACGAGCCTGAGGCATCACTGACTTATGACGCAACTTATGACGCACACGCAACATTGCGACGTAAACAGAGCCTCGCTGCGACTTCCAAACCAGGGGTTAATTTATTTGTCAGAACACATCTTCTGAGACAAAAGATTAATTATTCTAATCATAATTTAACTCATTCAACGAAATATACGAGGCTGTCAAAAAAATCATATCGAATTTCATTACGATGGCGTCATAAATTGTTTCATTTATTGGATGGATTCTCTCTGCATTGCCCGCGTAACGCTACTCGTAAGTCGGTGGTCCTCTTCGGAATTTAGTGGAAGCAATTTACCGAATTATGATGTTTCCTATCATCTGAAAAACACTGAAGCATTTATTTAATGTTTGTAATCAACTAAAGACGGACGGGAACGTACAGAGTAGAACCGGACATTTAAATGATTTGAAGCGACTAATACTAGGAAGCTGTGCTTAGCAAATGAGCCGTCAATTTCCTGTGCCTGGTCATTTGACTGTATTGTTATTAGTCAGGAACGAACATAATTGTTGATTGAAAATTATCAGTTAGCTTTTTCTGAAAATGTCACAGCGTCGGGGAAAATACATCAATAATTTATTTGTAATTAAGACAATCTCGATAACTTGTTAAACATGTAATTTACATGGGTTTTTTATAGTACAGTTTACCCATGCGTAGGAACGTGTACTAAGTATATATATAATACAATTGTTTCTATCTCTACCTCAAAATATTTATTTGTTCAATAATATATATATGCCTAAGATGTTTATGCCCCAGCCCCATTCCCCGGGATGTTGAGCTGTGAATATTTATGTCTGATTTCACCTGCGTTAACGACGATTGAGACCAGGTCTTATATAGGACTGTGTGTGATTGCTTTCATCAAGGCGATGTATTCTTATATACAGTCTACTCAACTCAATGCGATCGGTGACCTTCTTGGGTCTGACAATGTAGGGGTTGAATCGTACGTCTTCGCGTACCATTACTGAAACAGCTGTTTTGATTACATTGCACGCACAATAACAGTATCACGGTGACTGTGTAATAGTGCAAATGCCATTGTGAATTCTTTTCACTAACAAATCTGATGTGAATTTGAATTTGACACCCAGTAGACCGCGCGATAATAGGTGTCAATCACGTCACCTACCCTGTGTGATTAACACGTTCAAATGTGAAAACATCGTACACATATCTCTGATATTGAACCACAGTCCCTCTATCAGAGGGACTGTGATTGAACGCAATACTTACAGGACCACTTCACCCGATACACCAAGGATGTCGAATACAACCACTACCAGCACAATAACACAGTGGAATCCCAGCAGAGACGTCATTGCTAACTTGTATAGCGTTTTAAAATGGCCGCGTCATCGGATAGACCTCTCTTCACATAAAACGATCGGTTTGTAACTGACTACATCGACACTGCTCAACTCGATCTTAGTATTTCAGTCTCTGGTGCCTTTAGTAAATGCCCCAACCTTTATATAGCTGTGGGGAGACACTAACTAACCCGATGGTGTATATTACGACTTGCGTGCCCCCTAACTCGCTGCCGAATCTTACAATGGTATAAATTAAGTCAGAGAATAACAGTGATTCGCTTCGCAAAACGACACTGCTTAGTTTCGACTATTGGTAGCAGATATTATATGATTGGCAATGTGGCTTCTAATTACATTTTAATTAATGGTCAGTTCAATCTGTTTTTTTTTTAATTTGAAACATAATATATGGGTCACCAACATCTAAGTGTTTATTACACAAATTGCAATAAAGTAGGGTTGTGTATCAGTTACGTCTGAATATTAATATCAGTTAATTTAACGCATATTCCATCGCTCGTGGGATTAATAACTTTAATTACACGCTTTAACGTGAATGAAATAATTTCAATGTAAATTAGGAAATATTACACCATATTACCAGGATAGTAATAACGTATTTAACATTTATTTTGGCGAAACTTTCAATATTGATAATACATATCCCTCTTTTCATGTTGGTATTTAACTAGTTAAAGCATTGGAAATCGTTCGTGGTTTGTAATATTGGAAAAAGAAACTGATCGTTAAGTCATGTTGCCATACTGAATATATCACGTTTATTACTTTAGCAAAGTCGACATTTGTATTATTTTTTTTTTAGGTGGCAACATAATATTGTAGTATAAGTTTTCGAGCAGCGTCCCACTTGTAAATATACCATTTACGATTGCAAGAGTCGGGTGACGTGTGTCCCAGCACGTCGTCTTTGTTCATATCTAATCTTGTTATAAGTAAAATAGTCTTCCAAAATCTCGCAATTACTTGCGAGGCTCATGAATGTTCTTTTTTTCCTGAAAAATCGTAGTCTGCAACACACCTTCCCTATTGCATAGCGTCAAAAATTACGTAAATGGGTGAAGGCAGTGAAGCTCCAAAAAAAAACTATTCAAAAAATAATAATTCCCTCCAAAACGTATTTTTTTATTTCAGGGCGACCACAGATCCAATAAATTTCGACGCAGTGAATGAATTCGCTGACTGCGCCAATTTACGTCATGGAAAGTACCATCACTAGAGGGCGAGCTATATGTTAGGAGTGGTGTGTTGCCATGGTATGAACCAGGGGCCATGAACTTAGTGAGGAATTAAATGCAGCTGATTCAGTTGAACATTGACATTGGGATATTAATAGTCTTGAAATGAAATAAATTAATAAATAGCTATTAAATGTGTTACAATATACACGGGTGGAGCTACGTACGTCACAAGACGTTCCACCTTGCTAAGACGTGCACCACTGTACCATGTATTCCCATGGCCTATGCCCGAGCTGCTGTGGAACGCCGGTCGAAAAGTCGGTGAAAACAACTAAAGTCGCGAAAACAGCACAAACACAACTTTGAGGTAATCCTAGGCAATCAAATGTATACATGTTGCACATGTATGGGTAGCCTTGCTAAACTATTCAGAGGAGTCCCAACAACTAGCCCAAAGTACCGTTTCCTGAAAGTTTTTCAGTTTTTTGTCTTCACCCGAGAATACAGCAATATCCGTGCGTTTTTAAACCCGAAAAAATTGTAAAGGATAATATTTGTCGTCATGACCTATTACGGAAATTCATGATTTTGAAATACGACATTGATTCAGGCTGTGAAATGTCAAATAAGATTCTGTAGATTAACTGAAGATTAATAAAGTACCATTAGAACAGATCATTACTCTTAATCTTATAGTCATTTAGCAATATTATGATGCATTCAAATGTGGAAGACAAATAGCCCCCCACAGCGACAAATTAGTCGGTATGCGTTGACTCAGAACGAATATGGCTCTATCCGATGATTTAATTACTTGTTAATTAGTACATGCATTATAGTAAATCGATCTACATTGTGAGATGTAATTAATGAATATTCCAAGTGGAACCACGACTGGAATGCTAAAACATGTACGCAGGGATACGTTTGACAGTGACACTGACAGCATGTCTTGATGCGGTAAATAGTGCTATCAACCTTTCGGTGAAATCTGACATCTAATCTAACATTACAATTCTCCAGTGAAGCCATTAACGCGCATTTATATTTAACAGTGTACACCTACCGATTACTAATTACCGGTGATTAACTGTACATGCGCAGTAGCATACCGTGACATATTCACGTGAAGCTTGAATTTTCAACAAATCCATTTCACCGTTGTGACATATAGAATACGGAGATAATAAAATTTTTAACTGGTTATCATGTTATGGAATGTGACATAAACAACAAAATATCGGGTTCGAAAAAAATATGTCAAGCAAAAACAACCAGCTTCGATAGTCCTTATTTTGCTACTTATAACGACAGTCTATATGTACTTAAGTCGATAGTACTTTGCAATTTGACAGTGCTTTAATAAAACCGACAGTCATTAGCTACAATTTGACAGTTCTGAAGTAATATACTTACTAACAGTGTACGTCGTAAAACGAAGAGGCTAAAGCTCATTTGAGAAGTTACTTTCTGGTCGTAGACATGGTGGGACCACGTGGCGTACACATCAAAGACGTCTGTAATGAATTCTATCGTACAATTTGGTCTAGCCATGTATGACTTTACTTTTATTAATCTTGATATAATACCCAAACCTCAGTAACACGTCCAAAACAAACGTAATGATCGATATTCGAAACCTCTGTCAATCGTCACCGTCGGACTCGGAATTGTCCATCGCGATTCGTTCGCCAACACACATTAGGACATTACGTTGAAGCCGAGATATTTCGAGTCCAATGGAGGCGATGTTACGTGTGGTACACTGGGTCGTACGCGACTATCTCGGACTCGGCTACTGCGTTGAATGACGTTCTCTGCTCGGTGATCTTTGAACCCGGCCTCTTGCCTCCCAAACTAAAAGAACTAAAAGTAAAATTCGCCACCGACAAGAACAGAAATGAAAGCCAATTTAATAACTTGTGGTAATTTTGAAGAAAATTTACATTTTCATTCGATTTCTAATGCACGATGTTACTATCGAGTCAACAAACACATCTGCTTCATTTGCATAAATATTTATAAATTTCACAATTCAAACTGAAACAAAGGGGTTTTATTGGATTTGTTTTTTTTTTCAAATGACGTCAATGTGCACTACATTCGTTGATTGGCTGGTTAGATTTAACTGCAATAGAAATTTATACATATTTATAAAAAATAAAAAGAAGAAGTTAGTTGTGTCAATAGTATGAGAATAAACTTCTAATTTCTAGTAAGCTGCAGAATTTTGTATGCCGCTAATTGTGATTTTTTTCTATGTCGCGGCGAATTACGGCTTTTAATTCACCGTAAATCTTGGATTATTGTTGGTCAACTGGTCGTGCCGTGTGATAAATATAATTCGAAAGTCCTTTCCTATAATTCAATAGTCTTAATTAATGTTCTATAGTGCTTAGCTACAATTCGACAAATTTGTTTTTACTATTGTCCATATTTGTGAAATACTCTAGTACTAAAAACTGAGAGCATTCTGTGTTCTACATCCTATACAAGCGAGGGCATAATATCGTGTACCCTACGTATGAATGCTGTGATTTTTGAGACTTATGTAATATGTATATATTAACCGGTAAGTCTCATTTCAGTGGCATCGCTTTCTAATTTCACAAGTTTCACGTGAATAACTACTGTGCAGGAAGTCAACACAGATAACTCAGTCACAACAAACAATGCAACACTTTCTGCACTTTCATGGAATCTTGGGTAATAGTGTCTCTCACCGAAACGAGATAACCTCATAAATTTCGACACAGAGGGCAGCATAACAATACGAACAGCGGCGAAGTTCTCGGCCTATTCGAAAGTGACCACTGGAATCTCATTGAGATTGAGCCACGTGACTTGCTCTTCCCCCAAACAGTACTAGTATTTCATTCTCTGCCATCGTCACGTGGATATACATTAATTATTTATTCAAATTGATAATACTTTAAATTTTTCAGAAGAATACCAACCTACACAAATTCAGATTAATTATATTTAGGCCAGACTTTTTTTATTCCTTGTTTCTCGAGTTTTTATAAGGCATTTTTTTTGAGGAGGACGGAAAAAAAATAAAATTAAATCTTTTTTTTTTCCATTAGATTTGTGTGATTCTCAAAGAATTGTAAGTGAGATCATTGATCGGAGAGAAGAAATGAAATAAAATTTTAATTCATGTATAACCTTGTTTCTCATCTGCGCGACTGAGACTTCGGTACTTTGATCATCATGATACTCTCATGAAAATGCAACTTGGATTTGTTATGCGGCGGGCGGTAAAAAAATGAAGATAAAAATAATAATTTTTTTTTGCATTTTTTTTTGGCGCTTACAAGTCGGCGGGCGCGAAAAAATACGCTGAAATAAAATTTTATTTTTATTTCATTTTCGGCTCTTTTTCATTCGGCGGGTTCGCGAAACAAGGGATAATAAAAGTCTGGCCTTACTGTGTACAATTAACATTTATCATGATTTAGATGAATTCTGAAAGTTAAAAATGTAATTATATGTCACAAATGTATAAATATAATATTCGATGAGATCAATATTAATACAAACTAAATCGTCTTCGTGGATATGTTAATTCTCCTATTCCCTTATTATTGTGATATTATCATGAGCCTCAGGAATATTAAATATTTATTTTATTATTTTTATATATTGTGCTGTATAATTACATTTTGAATTGTAGAAATACTTTGGAGAATCTTGATTATCTCAATAAATATTATAAATCTGAATTTGTTATATTTATTGTTATTGTTATGAGTCCATAGACTATTATAATTTGTCTCGTTGAATATTATATTCATATATTGTGTTTTA